CATCCGTTTCCGCATTGACTTCAAAGTTCTAATGCTTACCTATAAGGCCCTAAATGGTTTAGGACCTCGATACTTGGCGGAGTGCCTGCTCCCACCAAGATCTACTCAGATCACCCGCACGAGTCAGGAGGTGAGGCTGAGGAGCCTGATGCCAAGGGAGTCCCGGAGAGAAAAGACTTGAAGCCAGGCCTTCTCAGCGGTGGCTCCTCGCCTTTGGAGCAACCTTCCTCCGGAGATTCGCGAGGCCCCTACGCTGGGTACTTTCAAATGCCAACTGAAAACATGGATGTACATCCAGGCCTTACCTCCTGTCAATTGCTGATTTCTTTTGCTTTGCTATTTATTATTTATTTATTCCTGCACTATTTGTTATTGTTGTATGCTAATGTTTTTTTTTAAATTGTTTTGATATTCTGTAAGCCGCCCAGAGTGGTAGAATATACCAGATGGGTGGGATATAAATCAAACAAACAAATAAACAAACAAATAAATAAAATGTATATTATACATATGTATATACATATATATGTATTAACTGCAAAAAATCTCCTGCGTGTATCCAGCCCACATTGTCAGGTTCTGCCCAGAGCTGGATCTTGAATGACCAGTTCAATGCACTAAAAGGATCACTAAGCACTATGTTTTTACAAATGAAGTTCATACAAAGGTTCCAAAGTTTCGGACAACTCCCACAGTGTGAAATAGTTTTGTCCTGAATGGAGTTTTTGTTTTCTCTCATTTAAATCATCACTTTAAATCCCCATGAGTCTGGAACACAAGCGTTATGAATAAACAATGGCTTCTCTTCTATTCTGTATTTAACATACCACAGCAAACATTTGTTGGATCACGTGTACACGTGTGTAGCTCCAACATGATTGAAGCCAGGATTGGCTCACCAAATACATCAGTCTCCAGTTTTGAGATTTAGCAGATGACCCAGCCTCATCTTTGCAGATGACTAGCAGGTGTACTGACTTTCTATAAAAAATTATGATGCAGGTGAATGTCCCTACAAGATCTCAAAATTCATCTTTTGCTTATGATAAAAAGAATGGATACACATTACGTGTTTCTCAAGAAACTAATATGCAAGAGGTGGAAGTATGAAAAAATAGGATGAAAGATTGGAAAGAAAGAAGGGATTCACAGAGCGAGTAATAGGGAGATTTTTGTTCTATCTAACTGGTGAGTGATGTGGACCATGTTACCCGAAGCAGCTGGTGGATCTCCAAGTTATTTTTATTTTTCAAACAAAATATAACAAAGGGCACTTTAAAATCCTTCATTCAGTCACAAAGTCTACTATTTGTGATGTGCCGAATTGAAAGAACAACACTGATCCACTATGTATTGTCCTCACCCTATTCTAAAAGTCCTCATATGGATCACTAAGTAACAGATGCACTGTTGAATGAAAGTAACTGCTTAGAGGTACATATCAGATAAAAGATTGGTGCTATCCAATTTTACAAAACAGGTTTAGGCAATATTCAGAGGTCTAGGGATTACACATTGGGAGGGCCACACTTTCAAATGCATTTTTTCTAACACATGCAGGGGGTGGGGCACCCATGTGTCATATGGATCACTAAGTAACAGATGCACTGTTGAATGAAAGTAACTGCTTAGAGGTACATATCAGATAAAAGATTGGTGCTATCCAATTTTACAAAACAGGTTTAGGCAATATTCAGAGGTCTAGGGATTACACATTGGGAGGGCCACACTTTCAAATGCATTTTTTCTAACACATGCAGGGGGTGGGGCACCCATGTGTGCAGGTGGGCGGGCGTGGGGGAGTGTATGCGGGGGGGGCGGGAGATCTGTCTCCATGGCCTGATCTGCAAATGCCACAGACCAGCAGCAGGCCGTGGGTTGGGGATCCCTGCCCTAGAGAGGCTTTCTGAGACAGGGAGGGCTACCCCCCCAATACCTTAAAATTTCTTGGGGATGCATAAGGATGATCAGACTGCATTTGGAATCTTGGGACACACATTTCCCATCCTGTTTTACAATTTGTTAACTGACTGACTGGCAAAACCATCCTGCTATTCACAATCACCCAGGACAAAGTTTACAAGTAAAAAGCAAGAACAAAATGACGGGCTCTTGAAAAGTTATGGATAAACCATCTAGAGCTAGGTGCACGGATGGGTGAAATAACAAGCTTTTCAGAAAACAAAAATCATTCCCGACTCATTTTATAGAATTTGATGAAAATCCAGTGGAGTCAGAGCCAGTTTGGATGTGACAGAAGTGCAGTAAGGGTGGGGAGATTCAGGAATTGTCCCACAGCAGAAGAACGTATGTCTAGTGGAGGTGTATCGGTTTTTCTATCCAAAAAAGAAATCTTGCTAAAAATTTAAGAATTTATGCTGTCATTTATAGGATACATCTGTATTTACAAAAAAGGGTAATTAAATATAGAGCTGTTCACTTGTAATTATCCAATTTCAGTGAATGATCAGTGGAACTAGTCAACGGATAATGAACTAGGACTCATTATCTATTTAAACAGATGACAAGGATATAAATTGTGGAGGTCAAAGCTGATTATTAGTAATTTTGGATAACGCGCAGAATGCAAACTGAATTAGCATTTCTGAAATAGTATTCTAGAGCCCGCCCGCCCCAATACAGTGGTGCCTTGACTTGCGAACGCCCGGACCTACGAACAATTTGATTTATGAACAGCTCCGGCCGCAAAATTTTGCTTTGACTTGCAGTCGGAGCTTTGACTTACGAACAGAAAAAGGCATGGAAAAGGGGCGGGAAATTCAAATAGACTAACCATTGGTGGCGAAGAGGCTGCTTCTTTGTAGCTCTTTTGTCTCAATGGTTCAGGAAAGGGATGTGGCGGCGTCCCTAGGATGCATCCCAGCCGGGCTCCACCTCCCGGAGTCTGGCCAGGAAGCGAGCAAGCATTGCTGCCCGAAGGGAAGGCTGGGGCTCCGGAAGAGTAGGAGGTGGTGGGCGGGTGAGCGCTTACCGGGCCGGCAAGTACTGTTGCCCAGAGGGAAGGCTGGGGCTCTGGAGGTGTAGGAGGTGGCTGGTGGGCGAGCGAGTGCTTCCTGGCTGGGTGAGCGCTGCTGGAGCAGGAGGCGGCGGGCGGTGGAAGCCTCCCAGCAGCAGCAGTGGAAGCATGAGAGTCCCTCCAGGAGCCAGATCCCGGCTGGGAGGCGAGGACTCATCCTGGCTGGGCAGTGGTGGCGGAGCCCAGGCCAGGCAGTGGTGGAAGCCAGGGAGGCCTCCTGGAGGTGAGCCCGTGTGGCGGCAGAGGAAAGCCGGGTGGGCACACGGAGGGCTCCCGCCGACGGCAGTTTTGGCGGTGGTGGAGCCCGGGTGGCTCAGCATGGCCGGGAGGCTTCAGAGGAGGCTTCGTGGTGAGGTAAGATGCTGCTTTTTGAATTTTAAAAACTCTTTTGGGTGGCTTTTGCTGGGTGGGATTGGGCTGGTGGGGTTATTGTAATGTTTAATTTGTTGTTGTTTTTTTGCAGCCCCAGCGGCTTGCAGTGTTTTATTTTTATTTATTTATTTTTTAAATGCTGGAACGGATTAATCCCGTTCCCATGCATTTCAATGGGAAATGGTGCTTTGACTTATGAACATTCTGACTTACGAATGCCATTCTGATATGGATTAAGTTCGTAAATCAAGGCACCACTGTATTTGAATTATACTGCTTTCAGTCCTTCCTTAAAGTTCAGTTTATAAGACCTCTCCAGAACTGGGTATCTTTCCTGGTCTAAACAGGTAGTGCTGGGTGAATGCACTTCCTTTTCCTCAATCTAACTGACTGAAACCAACTCAAAATATGTATTATATACTAAAACAATCTTGTTGATTTTGATATGCAAACCTGGGCGGAGCTGGATTGAAACTTCTCCCGGTGTCACTTGTATATTAGCTTCGTTTCTTGATACCATTACACTGACTTTGGGACTTTCTATAAAATCTGCTCTACAGCCTCTGTTAATTAGATGGACAACTGTATCACATCGGGCCTTCAGTTCCTTTGTTCCAATCATAAAATCCTGTTTCAAAAGAGACAATAAAAGACAGAATAGTCAGTAAAGCAAAATCTTTCATACAATCACCAAGCATAATCATATAACTAAAAAGCATCTCAGAAAAACAATGATGTGTACCTAATGCGACAAATAAGGCAAATTATAATACAGGTATGTTCTCCTCACGGGTATAACTGGAATTAGTGGCATGGCTTTTGAAGAATGTTCAGAAGCTACAGCTGGTGCTGTATACGGCAGCTAAAATCCTAACCTGATTCATCCTAATGCGACAAATAAGACAAATTATAATACAGGTATGTTCTCCTCACCACCACAAAGTGCTTGCACAGCAACCGGCTTGTGGAGGAGTGTCTCAGAGAGAATTCTCCTATCTTCACAAGCAGTTTTAGCACATGGATGTAAAACATGCAGTGCCAAAAAATGCAGTAACTTTTGTCTTGTAATAAGAATAGTAGCTGTGAATGATTTTCTTATGTTTATCTGATCAATCTGCATGTTCTACTGTGCTTGCTATGTGTGCACACTTAGCTTCAGAAAGAGAAGTTTTGGAAGAAGTAGCCATGTTAATCTGTGCCAGCGTATCAGGTCAAAAACAAAAATAAATAAGACAAAAACATGTATAGCTCATTCATTTAGACATGTGGCTGCGGAGCCAGAGGTTAGGAGTTTGCAATTCTGTACTGTGCCTCCTTAACAGGGACTTGATGATCCATAGGATCCCTTTCAGTTCCAAGATGATGATGGTATCTTAAAGACTAGCTGCTACATTTTAATGTGAACTTTCATAGATAAGTCCACTTCTTCAGACATAGGAGTGGGACTATATGGCAAATATTCATACATGGCCCCCAGTCAAAGAGACTGCTTAGTTCCTGGGCACAAGTTGTTGTTGGTACAGCATTTCACACCTGGCAATGACTTTTATGATACCTGTTGATATTCAGTTCCCCTCCCAGGAAGCATTATTCTGTAAGCAATAACAATGATTGGTAGCTATATTAATCTCAGGCTTTCCAACTTGTACAAATTACATACATCGTGAGTCACCTTGCTGGAAATGTTATCATAGAGGCACACCTCCATATAGTTACAAATGTGTTCGCGCAAGGCTTTGTCCACACAATTAGGAACTCTAAAAAGCAGGGTTTCCAATATTAAGTACAAATCCTATGTGGGCATTTAACTGAATGGATGTACTGTATTTACTTGATCTATATTCTCCCCAAACTGGTATTCAAGGCAGCTCAGAGTAAACTAAAAAAGGTACAGATAAAAAAATACACACCATAATATTAAAATATAGACTGTAATATTAAAACACAATTAAATTACAATTAAAACTATTTCTGTGAAAAGCACAGCACCCATCAGTTTAAAGTTTTTTTCCTCATCCGGCAGTGAGTTGCCAAAAACCTGTTTGAATGAAGAGACCGTTGCCTGCAGGCAGCATAACAAAAAGGAGAGGGCCGTAGCCTCTGTGGCAAAGAATTTCACAGCTGGGAACAGCAACTTAAAGATCAGTCTATTGTGTTCCTACCAAACACACTTCTGAGGCTGACAGAACTCAGAAATGTGTCACTTCTGAAGATATTACCGTCTGGGCAAGCTCATATAGGAAAATGTGTTACCTCTGACTCGCTAGACCCGTTGTTTAAGGTTTTATAAATCATAACCAACACATTTTATTGATTCTGGAAACAAACCTGGTAGGCAGTGGAGTCATCATAACAAAGGTTTGCTGTAACTAGCCCACACTTGACACTATAGTTTCACACATGGAAGTCTGGAGCAAGGATAATCCACACAACTAATCCATTTCCATCACCCAGACAAACACTGACATAGAATGAGCCATGATGAGATCATATGCATGTGCAACATGAAACAAGATATAATCATGGGATTAAATATGTATAGTTGGGGGTACAATTAAGAAATTCAAGTTTCTGTGATCTTCTGTACAGATTGCACATTACTTCTGATGTGTGGCAGTACGTAATAAAGAAGTGTATGGTTTAGCAGTTTTAGGCATACCTACGTCTGCCATAAGAATCTCACATTACTTACAATATGGATGAGGAACATTTTTAAGTATAAAAGTCTCATAGCTACTTTTTCTTCTTCAATGTGCAAAAATAGTGACTTATAAAGGTCTAAACTATAACATAGGAGAATTTAAGCCCTTTTGAGTTTGGCTGTTGTTCAGAATCATTACAATTTCCTTCCAAACTCTAAAAGTGGAACTCAGACATGGTAAATGCTTTAGACATGGTAAAGTATGTGAGTTTTTTTTTACAAGGTACCTTCAGTTTGCCAACTTTCTAAAATTAAGCTGGAACCAGAAAAGCTAACTGGCTGTAATGAAAGGCCAAACTGGCGCCAAAGGCATTGTCTACACTGAAAGCAGTAAATCTGGTGAAAATGGCTTGGGGGCAGGAATAACATGAAAAGGGGAGGAGCAGGGATAGATGCCATATTACAATGGAAAAAAGAAACTCCAACCCCACTCTTGTATCAGTAAGGATATTTTTGTTGTGCCCTCTTTGCCAACCAATGGAGGAGCTACAAGTTTAAGAGCCGCAATAGATTATGATTAAGATCTGCTGAGCCTCAGCAAAACATTTCTTGTTCTTTTCAGATAATAGCCACCATTGTTCTTCAAGACATTTTGGAAATCTCTGATTACTGTTAAGTAGATCTGAAGTGGCACATTTAAGTCAGGTGAGTTACCACACCATCTCTCTCAAGGGCAATGCTGGGGCTTGTACAAAATGTATGCCAAAGATCTTTGAATAATATTCAAACTCTAGTACTGGAGACTATGAATGGAGAACATGTGGTCCTCCAGATATTCTTCAACTGCAGTTTCTCTCGGCTCTAGTGAGCACGGTGAAGAATGGTGAACTGAAGTTCAAGACCAACAGGAGGACCTCATGTCCCCCTTTCCTCCTATAAAGTATGAGTCACTTTGAGTCCTCTCAGGGTGAAGAAAAAAAAGGAAACACATGACGAATGAACCAGGTTTTCAGGTTTTTGCAATTTTATGCTGCTACATTATAAGGGGGAAATGCCAGGAATTTGAAAATTAGCACCATGGCTTGCTAAAACTCAGTAAACATCTATGCAACGAATTATAAAAAGATGATATTCATGGAAGAAATCATTTATAAAATTATATCAATTATAAAAATGATATTCATGGAAAATATCATTTGCCCCGGTGTTTCTTGATTATTACTGTCATTTTCTTGTGCATTCAAAAAGTTAATGTATCATAACAATTAAAATTTCACTTCTGATTCTGAAGATTTTGTTTATTGGCAGAGATAGGCTAAGAGCAGCTAATCAAATAAGGGCCAAGATAAGCAATATAGAAAAATAACCTACCTCTTGGGTACACCATCCACATTCTGGGCCCACAGCAAGACAGCTAGTACATGTTCCTGCATTTGACAGTGCACACCTGTTGTCCGCTGGAGGAGCAAAAATTAGGAGGAAAAGCCATTCAGCAATTTGCTATGTGTATGTAGAGTTGGCAGAGGCACAATATCTCCTAATTTTAAACATATGACTAAGAAAACTATTAAAATGCTGATGTCACAATTTCTTTCCAGCAATAGAGCAGCAATTTTAAAACAATGATTGGCAAAAATATTAAATGCAAACTTCAAAGGTTCCTTCAACAGAGCACTGTTTTTAAACAGTCCATAAAATACAATTTTAAACAAGGTGGATAAAAATGAAAAATTAATTTAAATCATTAAATCATTATTTAAATAAAAATTGATTGAAATCATCAAAGAAACCAGATATTTTTATTTAAAATCAACTTTAGATCAAATCCATCTTATTTTAAAACACAATCTTAAAACACAAAACACTACATTCTTTTTAGCAATGGAACTGTTGTAAAACTACAACTGCACGGCAGAGCTTTAAAACATTATTTTTTGACTGTGACTCTTAGAATCCCTCTGTGTACTTGTAGCTAATGGCTGCACTGGCTGAAGAATGCTGGAAGTTTTAGTCCAAGTGACTTCTCCAAACTGTGCTGGAAAGCATAAACAGATGATAATTGGTGCTTTGAGGATTAATGAGGTACTCTACATGAGGGTTCAATAAGGGCTGCAATAAGAACCACAGGGAAAGGGAAATTTGTAAAAATAGGGTATTTATTAGACTTATATACCGCCCCATAGCGCTACAAGCACTCTCTGGGCGGTTTACAATTTTAATTATTCAGGCTACACATTGCCCCCCCCCCCAGCAAGCTGGGTACTCATTTTACCGACCTCGGAAGGATGGAAGGCTGAGTCAACTTTGAGCCGGCTACCTGGGATTTGAACCCCAGGTCATGAGCACAGTTTTAGCTGCAGTACAGCGTTTTAACCACTGCGCCACGAGGCTCTTTTGTCCATCAGTCTGCCTGTCGGAAAGGCAGGTGTGTTGAGTGGCTGCAGTGCTGTCCCTCCGTATATGTTTGGGAAGGGTTATTTCCACAGGTCCTAGCTCATCTGGACACTTCAAATGTTGGCCCTCCTGCCTTTTTAAAAATCTTCTGGTCTTCCAAAATCCAGAGAAACATACCAACCTGCAAAACCAGGAGTTCTGTCTATGTGTGTGTGACAGAAGGGGGGAATTTACAAATGTTATATAATTCCCAGAAAACCTTATTGGCAATCCTGGCTACCATGACTGTTTCATTGGCCACTTACTGACTGATCTGTTCTTAGATGTCATTCTTAATATTCTGTGGCCAACCACTCATAATTTTGATAAATTACCTTAATTTGATTCCCTTTTCAGGTATCAGCATACTCAAATAGCCTAGAAGGAGTGGAAATTTAATTCTTTGTTTTACTTCTCTTCTGACAGCATCAGCCAAAATTGGATTTCCAACACTATGGAGCATTTATTCCTCAGTTAATAATCTGAAATCATTTAGGCACAAGTGATTTGCTGCTGCAACAGCATTTCAAAATGTTGTATACTTTATGCCTTCTGATATGTTTTATATTTTTTAAAAAGAAAACATGTCATCCACTATTTTTCTCCCTCCAACAAAGAACATTAAAAGATATCTTTGAAATGCAAACTGTTACTCTTTGTTCTGTCCAGTCTCAAGAGCACTCAGTGGGGTAATAATGACAAACTACTGCATTCACATCCATGAACAGTGGTGCCTCGCTAGACAGTTAACCCACATGACAGTTTTTTCGCTAGACATTGGCTTTTTGCAATCGCTATAGTGATTCGCAAAACAGTGATTCCTATGGGGGAATTTCGCTAGACAATGTTTCGTCCCTGCTTTGCAAACCAATTTTTGCTAGATGACGATTTTGACAGCTCCCTCCGCGCTCACAGTGATTTAAACAGCTGATCGGCAGTTCACAAAGCAGCTTTCCTATGGCTGATCTTCACTAGACAATGACGATTCTTCCCCATTGGAACACATTAAACAGGTTTCAATGCATTCCAATGGGGAAATGCTTTTCGCTAGACAATGATTTCGCTAAACAGCTATTTCAGTGGAATGGATTATCATCGTCTAGCGAGGCACCACTGTATAAGGGGAATCTATTTGAGGTAGCATTGATGAAGGAGCCTTGATAACAACTATTTAGTACTTCAGTGTTAAATAATGGGACTATAGTTGGGGGCAGGGTCACTAAGGGCTAAACATTAAGCAGAAGGTCATAATTCTCATTGTCCCTTTTTCTTCTGTAGGAGCCTAAATTGCAGTACACTAAAGGCAATTAAGAAAGGTAAAGTATGCAGGCCAAGTCAGATTAAAAATATTCTCTCAAAGAACATTTCTGGTAATGTACACAGAGCCATTGGATTTTTCAATTTTTTGAACCACAAATCCCATAATCCTCCATTCTGGGAGCTCCACTTGATCTGCATGTGGTCACCTGGGGAAAAGGGCTAAATTGGAAGACTATCAGGCCTAGCTTGACCTAGCTCTGTCTAAAAAGAAAGTTCCCAAGTAGCACGAGGCCGAGAGAGGCCTATCTCTGCCTAGCTTCCTGTTCAGAACGGAAGCTTGGCTTTTGAGAGATAGTAGCAGCATGGACATAAATGAAATCACACCAGTACAGAGAAGTCTGGAAAAAACTCCCTTCAGGAGGCTCATTTGTTTTAAAGTGCATGTATTAATCAGTGTAACAAATTGAAAAAACTGAATTCAGTTCATATAATCATGTTTAAATAAAATTCAGAATCTGTGTTAATAATCTGTTCCAATTATTTATTATAGAAATACCAGTTACAGACATACATTCATTCATGAAGTATTTCTCATTTAGCTGCCAGTCTATTTTAAAAATAAATAAAAGAACTAAAACCAAGACACTACTAAATTAGCTATATCTTTTAAAAAAATACACCAGAGCCAGAAATATTTTTATGAGTTGGCTTTATACAGAAGAGAGACTTTTCTTACCATTTTACCAACAGAATCCAGACAAAACTGAACCATGGTGTTGCCAAAAATCAAGAGGCAAGCTTCTACTGGCTTTAGTTAAATAATACATGCCAAAAAGTATTTTAAAACAAGACAGGCCACATTTTGGCTCAAAACCCTTACACAGCATATATACATAATAAAAATGTATGTGTGGCTAGTTAGATCATGTCCAACTGTATATCATATTATGCATTCTAGAAGAATTACATCCCAGATCTCTAAGCAAGGCTTAATAGGCCAGATATTGCAAGAATGAAATTTCATTATAAAAAAAGAGAATTCTTCTAGAACAAGAAACACAGCACACTTGAAGAGCAGTTAAGTTGAATGCCTTACATACTATGCAAGCCACAAAACGCTCACATCTAGCACTTTGTTTAAGGAATCATTACACTGCCATGTTGCTACAATCAGCATTAATGAAAATCCACCAGCCACCTATGCTCATTACCTAATTCTTGTTTGATCTATAGAAATATATTACAGTCCCAAATCTCAGCAAGGAGCTCAAGCAGAGGAAGGAGGAGGACCTGCACTTCATAATATTCCACAATTCTGGACCAGTTTTGTCTATCACAGCCCAACAGATGGCAGAATACTATTTCATACCCAAATCCAATGTTACTCTGTTATGCTACATGAAAAATTAAAAACAGGAGACTTACAACTGAAACTAAATCAGCAGAAAGAACTTGAACTACAGATTTTCCAAGGTTAAAAAAAAACTGAAGGAAGGAGAAGGCCTTATTGCCCAAAGAATCTCGACAGCTGGTTTGGATGTAGCAGAACACCATTGGTTAGAGTTTCTATATGCAAAGTCAAACTAGCCACAATGTTTTCTAACCTCTGGTAGTCAAGGAGAAGAAGAAAGAACGAAAGAAGAGGAAGAAGCAATCCTTGATCAGAGTGAGCTAGTGCAATATCATGGCCCTCCTGGATCAGTTATCCAATGAAGATGAGGTAGAAATGCCCTTTCCCCAACTCAAATTGAGGGAGGAATTTCTGGGCACTGCATATCTTGAACCTTCTAAGATCCAGGAGACTGAACCCCTAGATGATGATGGCTCTGTGCCCAAATTGGGAAAGGAGATGGGGTTCTTACCAGTCTACAGGAATACTACAGGATGATGGCATGAACCTGGTTAAAAGTCCCCAGGCAAAATACTTTACAGCAGGGGTCTCAAACTCAATTTACGTGGGGTTCGCTGGAGGCAGAATCTGGGTGAGGCTGGGCCGCATCAGATTTCCCGCCAAGTGGAGCAAGTGCCCAAGAAAGGCACCCAGGAGTTTCCTTAGCCCGGCTGGGGCTCCGAGGAGGAGGAGGGGTGCACGAGCCCTCGTCGCCAGCCACGACCCCCTCCGGCACCTTCTTCACTATTACCAGCAGCATCAGCAGGACGAAGAAGCGGAAAAGGGAGGGAGCGCCGGCAAGCAAGGCAAGGCTTTTTTCTTTTTACGCAAGGGATGGGATGAAGAGTGTGGCCAGAGAATTCAAAGATGCCGGCCGTAAGTGTAAGAGAAGGACAAGGATTGCAGTGGTATTTGTGGACACTTAATTATATACCCCAAACAATGGCAAGGATAACAACCTAATGAATATTGCAACACTAGTGAACAATGCAATGACCACAAACTATCATCCAGCGGGCCACAAATGGCCCCCGGGCCGCATGTTTCAGACCCCTGCTTTACAGCCTTGAAGGCTCCCCAGGAGAAGAGGAATCTGGGTGTCTTCTTCAGTGAAAGCTATTTCTACCAGGGAGATCAACAGCAAAAATCTTGCAGCTGACCTCCACTACTATTTGTTCAAATAACTGCTCCTGTGCTCTGACTGAGGCTCTAACAGCTCAGATACATGAACTCCAGTTTAGGACTGTGTGAGGCATGAGGCGAGAGGGTAGAAGCCCTCGCCGGAGTGTTGTCCTCCCTCAAAAAGGAAGAAGAGGCACAGGCAGACCCATCTACACCACCGATCGAGAATATACAGCGGGGAGTTGATACCCG